GAACTGGTGGTATAGCGTCCTCTACAAATCAGCTGGTAAAACTTAATTGTCTTTCATCCACATTTTTTGTATTTTGCACTTCTGAGCATGTTATATTTGTAAAGAAGTACTTAGTTATCTTATAGCTTCCAGTATCTTTGATGAATAAGCAAAGTTTATTAATTCTTTATGCGTTTTGATGTTAAATTTGGGATCATCTCCAATATGCCTTTATCTATCGTACAGGATGACTTGGAGACGTTTGGAGACATTGGTTCCCTGGAAGATAACGTGGAGTCATTTCTATCAAATGATGGGGGAGATGGAAATATCTATGGAACAATGAAACAAACGATTACTGAGCACAAACCCGAGTCTTCCAAAGGTGATAATGCGAGTTTGACTTGTATAAATGCTTTCTTTGTTGTTTTTGTTGCCAATTTACTAAGAGGATAAATATATCAGGATTCTCCTTCGGTGAAGTTGGTTGTATACGCACAAGGAATAAAGTCACTTGCTGCCATTTCTCATCAGATGGAAAGCTTCTCGCTAGTGCCGGACATGACAAGAAGGTAGAAAGGCACTTCCATATGGAGACTAACATCTTTAGCATATGGAGATAATTGGATGCCTTTTAATGAAATTCCTTTTTACTTTATCAACAAATGGATCAAGTGTTTCATTTCATTCCAATGGTGGATGTGCTTTTCAGTGGTTAAATCTCCTTTATACTTCACTAGTGACTGAGCATTTTCTGCCGCACTTTTGTTTTCACTAAATCAGTTGTCCTTATAAGTTCTTTCCTCCTGTGTATTTATCAGGCTGTTCTGTGGAACATGGATACCTTACAAACGGAGACCACCCCAGAAGAACATCAATTCTTGATTACAGATGTCCGGTTCAGGCCTAATTCAACTCAGCTTGCAACTGCTTCATTTGATAAGTCTGTGAGATTGTGGGATGCTGCCAATGTAATTGTTTAGACATTTTCTGCTGAATAATTATTTAATCACCATGTTGAAGCCAGGCCTTACCTGTAGTCGCTTACAACATGACACCTGATTGTTCATATTTTTAGATATCCGATTGTCATATATTGTTCAACAATACCAATCTATATTTTTTTTACCACATATTCACACTCAAATGATCCCTTGTCGAATTTATTTTTTTGCAGCCTGGCTACTGTTTGAATTCATACACCGGGCATTCTTCTCATGTTATGTCGCTGGATTTCCATCCGAAAAAGAATGATGTATTTTGTTTCTGTGATAGCAACAATGAGATTAGGTACTGGAGTATTAGTCCATTCTCATGTACTCGAGTGTCAAAGGTTTGCCTTTTACCATTCATTATGTTTAATTAATTTGTTGTGATAATATTCCTATGAACTATCTTCAAATTGTCTCCTCTCTCTACTTGTAGCAAGGAGGCAGTGCACAAGTGAGATTCCAGCCAATAACTGGTCAGCTGCTGGCAGCTGCATCAGATAAGGTGGTATCGATCTTTGATGTCGAAAATGACAGGCAACTGCAGTCTTTCCAGGTTTGTCCTCAACTTCCATTGTGTGTTGGATTACGTCAACTGTTACTTAAAAACTATATATATATATATATATATATGTGTGTGTGTGTGTGTGTTTCTGGCACTTCCATATTTTCTGTATGTTCCAACCATAATTCCTCACTTGCCAAGATAATTGTGTTTACAGGGACATACTGGAGTGGTGAACTACCTTTGTTGGGATCTCAATGGTGATCTACTGGCATCAGTAAGCGAGGAGTCTGTCAAAGTTTGGTCACTGAACACTGGTGATTGCATCCACGAGCTAAGTTCAAATGGAAATCAGTTCCACTCTTGTGTATTTCATCCTAGTTATTCAGCTCTATTGGTGATTGGAGGAATGAGGGTAAATATTTGTTCTCCTTTATTTCTATCATTCCTTTTGTATGTTATTCAGAAAATTTACCCAAATGTATGCATGCACTTAACAGTCTTTGGAGCTGTGGAACATGGTTGAGAATAAAAGCATGACAATTCCAGCACATGAAAATATTGTCGCCGCCCTAGCACAGTCACCAGTGACTGGAATGGTTGCTTCTGCAAGTCATGACAGTTCTGTGAAGTTATGGAAATAAACTAGAAGAGGATTCGATGCTGGGATATACATGCACATTTGCTCCGCTTGAGGTGTTAGGGAAAAAAGTCTTGCGTCGTCTATGTTGTTGTAGTGTATTGTTATGAGAAATATCAATTTTTCTGCTTGTTAGTCATCACATTAGAGTTTGGTTTGCTTAAAAGCAAGTTGAGCATACTGATTGCTGCGCAATGGTTCGGTAGTGTAATAACTTCTGCAACTGTTGTCAGTGATTAACAACTAATAATAACATGATATAAGTTTCGGCTTTACGTCTATCCATCACCTTTTAAGAATGTCTCCCTAGGGAGACCCATTTCGAGCTCTTCCTAATGAAACCAACACAGCGGGGGATAAATGCGGAGGTGGGATTATTTGTCTTCCTAATCTTCGACACAAGAAAGGGGTTTCTAGTCTTGGTTTCAATTTTTCCAGATGTATCAGAAACAAACCCTATATATGAACATTTTTTTTTTTTTTTTTCTATAGTTTATAGCAAAAATGAAAAAGTTAGTGAGTAGCTGGGAAAGAAGAAATGGACGGGAAGGAGCAAAGGAGGGTTTGGCAAGAAAAATGTAGCGGGTAGGGCTTCTGGGCATCATCTTAAGATAGAATGTAGGAGTAGTATTTGTTGCATATAGCAAGTTGGCATCTAGTAGAGTAGTAATAATTATACACCTTTCCTCCTCTACCATTAATCAAAGGTCATGGGTTCGAAGCTTTAGAAATAAGATTAGAGAATGTTACACAAATCTCATAGTGTTAAGAGCTAATTACATTATATCCTTACTCTTTTCTAAATTATAAAAATTCCTTAAATTTGATGGAATCCTGATACATCCCAAAACGTTCTGATACATTGCGTCCCAATTTTCATTACATCCCTCAATGTCTCGATACATCATGTCTCGATTTTAGATACATCACTCAACGTCATGATACATCACGTACGTCCCAATACATCGCGTAAAGTTATGTATCCGAAAAAAATATGAGAGAGGACGAATTTTTGTAATTTTTTCAAATGATAGGGAATGTTAGAAAATATGGTAAAATAAGTTGTGTATTTATGTAATTTTTCCATAAAATAAATCTTATTGAAAGCGTTGTCTCCAAAATCGGGCCTCCTTTCAGATTTAGTTAGCCACCAATGCAAATACAGGACATGACCAGTGGCGTACACAAGATTTTTGTAAGGGGCTTCACCTTTTAAAATGAAAAATAATAAATAAAATAATGTGACGTCATATTTTTTTGAAAAAAGAAAGAACAAAATATGAATAAAATACAATTCGGCTCACTACTATACATTTTCTAAAAAGAAATATTTTAAAAAAAAATTATAAAAAAACTTACGATTTTTAAAGTTTTTTTTAAAAAAAAATGTATTCAAAATAACTTTTTAAAATTAAAATTAATTAATAAAAAAATGACAAGCTCTGGATTCAAACACACGACCTCTACATTGGAACTAATGCATCAAACCAGCTAAGTTAAGTGTATATTTATATATTCGATCTTTCTACTTTTGCCTTTAATTATATATGTATATTTGGTAATTTTTTTCGACGAAGCAGTGTCACGTGACGACACCTACGTAGATCTGCCCCTGGACATGACTGGGTGGGAAAATAAAAAATAATATAAAGTACTCCTTCCATCGTAAATCTAAAGGCACTTAAATTTAAAATATATCTTAAATATGGCGGAGAGAGTAAAATTTCAAGTGAAAAACTTACATAAATAATATAATGTTTGTATTAAATGAATATATAAATGCATGTCAAAAGAAAACGTGGGGGCAAGATAAATGTACGAGTAGGGGAAGCAGAGTGACCACCCTCTTAAGAATTAGAGTAGTACTAACATATAGGTAATTAAATTTTTAGAGAAAAAATTAGACATGATTATGATGTTTGCCCTAAGTTAATACTCCCTCCGTCAACTTTTATTTGTCATGTTTAAATTAGATTACATTAGTTCGATATTTTAAACAAAAAATTTAGATATTCAAAAACTATACGAAAAGCACTATAAATTACAATTTTTTGCATATCCATATAATGAAAAAATATATCGTAAAATGTTAGTCAAAGTTCTTATCGTTTGACTCTATAAAAGGAAATCATGACAATTAAAAGTGGATGGAGGGAGTACTAAATGACTGATCTCTTCTATATAAATTTTATAATTTAACCATGGTTAAACTATATATATATATATATATTATCACCACAATTTACGAGCAATGCTCTTCTATATAGGTGTGGAAGTAAAATGATTCTCAATAGTGTATAGTAACTATGATCAATAATAGCTAACATTTAAAAAAAATAATCCGTTCGTTATAAAAAAGAATTAACAACAGATTTTATTGTTTAGCTATAAAATTTGTCCGTTACTAATAATTTTTTAATTATAATATCATTAATAGGAGGAACACAGATATCTTTTTATGAGAAGTGTAATACCATTTTGTTGAAGTGCGGATAAAAATTGAATAACAACACAAAATTATCATTTTTTTTGCAAATTAATTATTTTTAGAACCAGAAAAGTAAATTCTGCCTAACAAAACCTTAAATACCTTCATTAATTAAATTGTCAAAAAATTCGGCCGCACATAATCCATTAAATAAATGGAATTCAAAAAAAAAAAAGTAGTAAAAAGTTTCACACTCTCTAGCTATATATATATATATATATATATATAGTATGAAGCGCGCTCATGTCTTAAAATTCATAAGTTAACTATAATTCTCTCTATAAAAAAAAAAAATCGAACGCCTTCGATTATTGTTATTATCAATGGATAATATTGTTATATCCAATGAAGAGGAAATTTCAATGATGAAAGCTATGCATCTTCCTTGTGGGGTATTCCTTAACATGGTAATAAGAGCTGCCATTGAAGTTGACCTATTTGAGATTATAGCAAAATCAACTACTCAAAAACTATCTTCTTATGAAATTGCATCTCAAATTCCCACAAAAAACCCTAATGCCTCACTTGTTCTTGAGAGGATTCTAAGGTTTCTTGCTAGTCAATCTTTTCTCACATGCAACATTACAAAAAATGATGATGGAAATATTCACACATCATATAGTTTGACTCCATTAAGCCAAAGTTTAATCTCAGATAAAGATGGATCATCAATTGTTCCCTTATTACTACTGAATACTGGTCCAGTAGGTGTTAATGCTTGGTAAGATTTCATGTTTTCTTTATAGTACTCGTGATTTCATTATCAGGTCATTTGAAAGATAATTGCACGTGACCAAGTGAAAGTAATTATAATAGTAGCCTGAAAAAACAATAATGTAGTATTTTCGCCGGTTGTCCCCTTTTTTGTGACAATGGTTTAGTAAATATTATAACTTTATTTTTTGTTTGTTAAGGTTTCATTTGAAAGATGCAATATTAGAAGGTGAAATACCATTCAACAAGGCTCATGGAATGCATGCATTTGAATACAATGGAAAAGATAGTAGAATGAATGGGGTATTCAACAAAGCTATGCAAAATGTCACTTGCATTGAAATGAAGAGAATTGTTGAGTGTTACAATGGGTTCAAAGGAGTAAAAGAGATAATAGATGTGGGAGGTGGACTTGGAATATCATTAGCTTCTATAATATCCAAGTATACTAATATCAAGGGTATTAATTTTGACCTACCTCATGTCATCAAAGATGCCCCTATTTATGAAGGTAACTACCAAAACCCTATAATTAATTAAATTGAATAAGGATCATTTTCTTGTGTTAGTCCATAATACAATTTTTTTTTAAAAAATTGTTATGTACATTTAATTGATATTGAAAGATGAAATTAAGCTTCAACCACTACTCTTGCTTACTATATTAGGCATAGAGCATGTTGGAGGAGACATGTGGAAGAGTATTCCTCAAGGAGAGCTCATCATTTTGAAGGTCAGTATTTTAGTTATATAGATATTATATACTAGTATAATATTATTTCTTAATAGTTATTTTCTATCGTTTGGATATAAAAGAATGATATATTTTTATAATTGAAAGTCAGTAATTTAACTTTAAAAATATATTGGAAATTCTATTTAAAATGTCCATATTAATTAGGAGTCGTTTTGCAAGTACATATGATCTAGCAATCTCTGACTTGATAATAATAACAAATGTAGGCAGTACTTCATAATTGGGATGATGAAGATTGCGTGAAAATACTAAAGAACTGTTGGAGAGCTTTGCCAAAAGATGGTAAAGTTGTTGTAATTGAAAGAATACAGCCAGAATATCCAGAGACTAATCTTCTCTCTGAGCATTCATTTAGTTTTGATATATCAATGATTATATTTCATGGAGGCAAAGAAAGAACAAAACAACAATTTGAAGATTTGGCTAAACAAGCTGGATTTACATCTCTCAAAGTTGTGGCTCGAGCATATTATTCTTGGGTCATGGAATTCTACAAGTATTAGTTTCCTATTTTTAAATAATTTCTGCTTTAATAATACTCCTTATGACGTTTCATGTGGTATCATTCTGATTTCAAGAGTCAATTTTTTTAAATTTGATCATAAACTCGGACATTGAATCTTTAAATATACTGGAATTATCATTTGGATTGTTACATATTGTTTCAAACTATATTGCATTATATTCATGTATCGTATGATTCAAAATATCATACATCAACAATTTAAAAGATAATTTTAAAAAAAAAATTATATATGAAGTAAAACTACAGAAAAAAGGTATGGAGAAGCAACTGAAAGAACAAAGCCCCTCTTGGTTTACTTTCCTAAATGTTTTGTTTGAATTGAGTAGGATCAAATTTTTAGTCTTTCGTTTATCGTTTATTTACTTTTTAAACGTATCAATAAAATGGGTCTGGCCTAATTTTAAAAAAAAATTAATATAAAAAGGTAGAATAAAGAATAAAATATAATTATTTAATAAAAGTAAATACAAAATAGCGGAAAAAAAGAAAAAGAAAAGGAAGAGAAATAACAACGATATCTCTAATAAGTAATACCGCATACTAAATTTAACAATACAATACAACAAATTTAATTAACAATTAAAATAAATATTGTATTTAAATTAATAACATCATACAATACCATAGGTAACAACCATCCAATAAGTGAAGGAGGTCACTTTCATATTTTTAATGTTGGTAACAAAATATCATAAAATTAATTAATGACTTCGAACCTTTTTTTTTCGGGAAAATTACGCAAAATGTCCGTAAGGTTATATTTTTTGCACAAAAAAGAGTTAATTAAAAAAATAAATTATTTATTGCTATAGTCGTCTATATATGGCCATTCGACACCCGTGTCTTCGGCTTGCTAGTGTTGTTGTTCTTCTTCTTCCTTACGTACAAACGTGAATAGTTTTGAGCGAATTGTATATCAAAAGATTTAAAATATCAAAAAAAAATTCATATCAATAATCTGAAACTGTTTAGAGGTGACTTCAAGTTGATCGAGATTGAATAGTCAATGTATACTTTATGTATAGTTCAACTATATTAAATTTTTTTTAAGTATATCATAATGTATAGTCAATTATAACACATGTATAAATACTTTATATTGTATAATTAGTGTATATATTTTCTATGACTTCTGGCAAGATATAATACATAGTGATCAGTCTATACTTTCTATAACTTTTAAACATATTGGGATAAGACTAGCTCTGATACCATATAAAGATATGTCACAATTCATCACCATACTTCAATCTCAAGACTGTCATAGTGCAAGCCCATGATATTTTCACCAAATCATATTCTCTAAAAGGTATCTTCAATTTAAAACAAAAATATGTCTTCACTGAAACTTGCTTCAATAACAACTTTAATTGTCACTAATGCTTTCATTTTGCATTGGAAAATTGTTAGTTTGGAGGGTACAGATGACAAGTCAATAGATGGCGAGGGGAATAAATGGTAGTATAATGGAGGATGAAACTAATTATTAAACGAAACTCGAAAGATATTTTTGACTTTTCTCCCTTTTTATTATTTATGACTTAGATATAGGAGTAGTCAACTTTTAAACTTGAAATTAAATGATGTCTCTTTCACCGATAAACCCATACTTAGAATTAATTGACAAATTAAATTTTCAAAATGCCTTTTTGAGGCTTTAAGCTAGATTGTATCAAAATTGAAAAATGGTAGTGAGCTGGTAAATAAAAATGTAAGCTGTCACCACAATTTATGAGCAATGCTCTTTTTTAGGAATCTAAAGTACTAGCTAGGTGTGCAGCCAAATTGATTCTCATCCCAATAGTGTATTAATTTGACCAATAAATATAAGGTATTACTTATTTCTTTTTAAAGTTTTAGTTATTATTTAATAGTAATGCTAGTTATAAATAAAATTCACAATATACGTAAAGCAATTGCGCCTAACAGACACATAATCATATGCTAACTTAGAATTTTATGTATCTTTGTTTCAATATTCTAAAATTTACAACCGCAAAAATACTCCCTTCGTTCATTTTTAGCTTTTTATTATATTAAAACATATTTTAATTTTTGTCAGATCAAGATGAAAATATAATATACATTTTTCTTATTTTTATCTTTAATATTAATAATTATTTATTTTTTAAATTATTTTTTAAGACTATACATCAACTAATATGAATATTGTGATAAAATTTTCATTATATTAATCATTATTACTTAAATAAAGTGAGTGTATTCGGCCTAACAAACCCTTGAACACCTTCACTAATTGAGTTATCAAAATATTCGGCCGTAGATAATTCATTAAATAAATGGAATTAATAAAAGTACTTTCACACTCTATATATACATTGTATGAAGAACATGTCTTAAAATTCATAAGCTACGACTTTCATTCCTCTAAAAAAAAACAGATCGAACGCCTTCGAGTTATTGTTATTTAATTTCAAGAAATGGACATGGCTTTATCAATGGATAATATTGTTATATCCAATGAAGAAGAAATTTCTATGATGAAAGCTATGCATCTTCCTTGTGGTGTATATCTTAACATGGTTTTAAAAGCTGCCATTGAACTTGACCTCTTTGAAATTATAGCAAAATCAACTACTCAAAAACTATCTTCTTATGAAATTGCATCTCAAATTCCCACAAAAAACCCTAATGCCTCACTTGTTCTTGAAAGGATTCTAAGGTTTCTTGCTAGTCAATCTTTTCTCACATGCAACATTACAAAAAATGATGATGGAAATGTTGGGTTTTAAAAGGTGTGAATGGAAAATGAAGAGTTGCAATTTTTATGAAAAGTTGTGACTTTGATGAAAAGTTGCGACTTTTATGAAGAGTTGTTACTTTTATGAAAAGTTGCGACTTTTATGAAAAGTTGTGACTTTTATGAAAGGTGGTGACCTTTCCGAAAGATTGTGACTTTTCCAAAGGTTTGTGACCTTTCCGGTAAGGCACAATAAGAATCTTTTCACACTACCCTTTGTTTTCTATAAATTGAGGAATTTCCTCTCATTTTAAAAATAGAATTTTTCTGGACTTCTTCTACTACTAAATCTACTATTCTAAGTGTACTTTACTGCCGTTGAGTGGCTCGCTGACACCAGCGTTTTGGGTATCAATACACTGGTGATTGAGATCATTCTATCCTGGGAGGACATATTCCAAATCAAACCTCGGATACTAGAGGGGAATAATTTCCTTAAGGGGACACTGTGCATTCAGTGGGCTTGATCTTCTTTCTGTTTTTCCAGATTCTGGTATGTGTTACAGATTTTAAAATTTGTGAATTAATTTATGTTCTTCTATTCTTCACTGGTTCATTAAACTTTGGTAACTTCGTGTTTCTGCAAAGTTTGTTGGAATTAGTAAGATTCTTTAAACACAGATTGACAACAATTCTTCTTTAAGGAAAAATATTTCGTATATTTTTTCTAATCTGTTTCTGATTCTAGTTTCTCTACTAGTTTTAATTTTCTAGTTGTGAAAATGTTCTTAAACTTTATTGTGTCTTACCAAGTTCTTCAAAGTTTTGTTCTAAGTATCTTAGGAATACAAGACGAACAACAGGAAATGTTCACACATCATATAATTTGACTCCATCAAGCCAAAGTTTAATCTCAAATAAAGATGGAACATCAATTGCACCCTTTTTACTATTGTCTACTGATCCAGTTGCTGTTAATTCTTGGTAAGATTTCATGTTTTCTCATACTTGAATCATTGAGTTAAACAACTAATTTTATATTATCAAGTCACTTGAAAGATAACTGCACGTGATCATGATCATTATGAAAAATAAGGCAAGTTTTCTTACAATGTAGTATTTTTATTGGCCGTCTTTTTTTTTTTTTTGGGGGCATTGTTTCGTTAAATGACCATCTTTTTATTTATTTAACAAGTTATGGGCCTTTCAGACAATATGTTAATTAATTAAAGATTTATTTTCAACAAATTAAAATTAAAATCTTATAACAAACGTTAGACCATAGAGATGAAATCAAAAAGGTGGCCCAGCTAAAAAAAAGATAAACTTACATAAATCAGTCTAAAATACACTAACGGTGTAAAATTACATTATTCTCATGTCAATGGAGTATTAATTATGTAACTTAATTAATCCCTTGTTTTTCATTTGTGATCTTATATTAGTAAATTTTAATTTTATATACATTGTGACCTTTTTTTTTTTTTGTTAAGTTTTCATTTGAAAGATGCAATATTAGAGGGTGAAATACCATTCAACAAAGCTCATGGAGTGCATGCATTTGAATACAATGGAAAAGATAGTAGAATGAATGAGGTATTCAACAAAGCTATGCAAAATGTCACTTGCATTGAAATGAAGAGAATTGTTGAGTGTTACAATGGGTTCAAAGGAGTAAAAGAGATAATAGATGTGGGAGGTGGACTTGGAATATCATTAACTTTTATAATTTCTAAGTATCCTAATATCAAGGGTACTAATTTTGACCTACCTTTTGTCATCAAAGATGCCCCTACTTATGAAGGTAACTATCAAAACTATATATATTATAATTTATTTCAGAGTATTGATGGAACATGATAGAATATTTGTATATTTCCTATTCCTTTTGGGAAAAAATGATAAACTTCAAACAATTTCTTTTATTAATTTAACCATCTCTATGTCTACTTGAATCGAATATTTTGAATACCAACTAGGATTTACAACACTAATAAATCACATAATATATCATTTAGTGCTATTTTTGTAAAATAAAAGATAATGCTATGCATTTAATTGAGAAAGATGAAATACTCTTGGTTTCTATCTATTAGGCATAGAGCATGTTGGAGGAGACATGTTGAAGAGTGTTCCTCAAGGGGAGCTAATCATTCTGAAGGTCAGTATTCTTGTCATATATATTTATATTTTTATAACTGAAAGTTAGTACGTCTAGCAATCTCTGATTTGATAATAATAACAAATGTACGTAGGGAATACTTCATAATTGGGATGATGACGATTGCGTGAAAATATTGAAGAATTGTTGGAGAGCATTGCCAAAAGATGGTAAAGTAGTTGTAATTGAACAAATACAGCCAGAATATCCAGAGACTAATCTTCTCTCTAAGCATTCATTTAGTTTTGATATATCAATGATGATTATATTTCATGGAGGCAAAGAAAGAACAAAACAACAATTTGATGATTTGGCTAAACAAGCTGGATTTACATCTCTCAAAGTTGTGGCTCGAGCATATTATTCTTGGGTCATGGAATTCTACAAGTATTAATTACCTATACTTTAATTAATTTCTACTACAATAACACTCTTTTTGTTCTAATTTATGTGACACTGTTCGAATTTTGAGAGTTAAACTTTTTAATTTGATCATGAATTCGGACATATATAGATATTTGGAAACTATATATGTAAGAATCGTCATCAAAAGAGAAAATTATTTAACTCTTGAAATTCGAAAGATAGACATATAACTTGGGACAGAAGGAGCTAGTAAGTCTTTAATTATAGAATAAAAAGTTGATTGATTTATGTATTTACTGGCTATTTCCAATTATGTTTGTTTGTTCGTTGCTTATGTAACATGATTTTCCTTGAATTAAAGAAGGTCCTAACAATATCTTGGATTTTTTTTATTTATGTAATTATTTTTTAATGTTTGGTTGGTGAAAGCGTTGATTTTCCTTTGGTTCAAATTAAATAAATACAATATATATATTTAATTTATTTATTATTTATATGGATCTAGATTGACGGACATGCTTGAAAAAAATTTAAGTCTTTCAATATGCCTCACAAGTCACATCAAATTGATTAATATACAAAATAAATTTTTTTGTCATTATATAATAATAAATTTAACAATACAATATAGTGCAATTTAAATAATAATCTAAACAAATATTATATTTAAATTAACGATATAATATAACACGATAATAATCATCCAACTAGTGTAGGAAGTCACTTTCCTCATTTTAATGATGGCAACCAAATACCATAAAATTAAGTAATGATTTCCCCTTGAGCTACTCGTTTTTCTTGCTTTTCAAATGTTTTTTTAATCTTTTTCCACAAGTTGCTTATCAAGAAATAAAATAAAAGCAGAATTTTTTTTAAAAAAAAACACGTTTCTGCTATTCTATTTTTGCCAAACCCTTTAGGAATCGTATGGTAAGGGTAGGGGTGTTCGTGGTTTGGTTTGGATCAATTATTGATTAAAATTAAAATCAAATCAAAATAATCGGTCTTTTAAATTTTTAAAACCAAACTAAATCAAACAAAAAAAAATAACCGTCGGTTTGGTTATTAACGGTTTGGTTCAGTTTTTTTTATTTTTTTGGTTTGAAAGTAATAATTTTTTTTAGGACATATGTATCTTGATAGACACAAACACCTAGTACATGAACAATCCACAGGAAAACTATTGTTGATTCAACTATGCAATTAAGCAATACAAGAGTTATCATTACACTAACAAAGTGATTCAATTAAGAGATTGTGTGACTATCTTATGAAAGATATGGTAGGTAAAGACTAAAGTAATGAATTTTGATGGACTTGGTCTTAGGATAGTAATAGCTGGGCTAAAATTTAAGTGTTGGGCTTGAGAAAATGGTAAAGTTAAAGATTTAAGTTACTAAAAATTTAACAAAATATTTATATTTCATTTATGAGTAATATAATTATTAATTATAAAATTTATATATCTAATTTATTGGTTTGGTTTGGTTATTTTTGCAGTTGTTTTTTAGTAAAATCAAAACCAAACCAAATAATATCATCTTTCAAAATTTAAAACCAAACCTAACCAAATTAAATCAAACATCAACATTTTTAATCGGTTTGATTCGAATTGCGGTTCGGTTTAATTTTTTAACCATAACCATAAACAACCCTAGGATGGGGTAATAATTCCATAAGATAATTTTGTCTCTATTCTATATATTAAATAATTCTCGTAATATAAATTATTATGATAAAAAGAAGTAATGACAATATTAACCCTCACTTTCATTTATTATGAATGATTGGTTTATTTTTCTTCAGTGGTTGTTAAAATAAGTGTGAAGTTACGTTTTCAGATTATCGTGATTATGTGATCATCAATGTATGATACTTTCAAGTGATAAAACAAACTTTGGTAACTTTGACGCAATTTTTAAAAATAATTATATGATCATTTGTGAAATATCAAGGAATAAAGCAAGATAAGAAGACGTAGATTGATATATTTAAAAAATAAAATAAAAAGAGACGGTTAAAATGGGAACAAAGAAAAAGCAAAGGCAATCTTCACAACAACTTAAATCAAAAGCACTTCTTTTGACCGATAAATATTCTCTCCGTTCATTATTATTTATCTATTTTTGCACGTTACATGTCTTTCAAAAAATAATAATTCATGTGAATATTTTATCTCAATATCCATATTAATCATTGTATAGATTTAGATCTTGAAAATAATTTAAGAATAATCAGCATGTCGAAAAGTTACATTATTTTATTTTCATTATGGTCCGGTTCTTTGACGTTTTTCTCGGGCAGAGCTAGAAGCCCGTGTACGTGTTCGATAGGTATAATATTCTGCCTAACAAACACTTAAATACCTTCATTAATTCATATCCTAACTTTAATTTCCTCTTATGCCTAACAGACACTTCATTGACTTTTTATATATCTTTGTGAAGAGGAGAAAATATAAAAAGGAGCTAGTAAGTCTTTATTTATAGAATAAAAAAAGTTGATTGATTTATGTATTTACTGGCTATTTCCAATTATGTTTGTTTGTTCCATTGATTTTCCTTTGGTTCAAATTAAATATATAACAAATATATATATATATATTTAATTTATTTATTATTTATATGGATCTAGATTGACGCACATGCTTGATCCAAATTTAATTCCTTCAATATGCCTCACATTAAATCGATCGATATATAAAATGAAATTTTTTGTCATTATATAATAATAAATTTAATGATTTAATATAATAAAATTTAAATAATTATCTAAATAAATATTATATTTAAACTAACGACATAATAACACGATAACAACCATCCAACAAGTCACTTTCCTCATTTTAATTATGGTAACCAAATACCATAAAATTAATTGATGACTTCCTCTTGAGTCTTGAGCAACCAGTTTTTCTTACTTTTCAAATGTTTTTTTAATCTTTTTCCACAAGTTGCTTATCAAGAAATAAAAGAAAAGCAGAAAAGAAATAATTAAAAAAATACGTTTCTGCTATTCTATTTTTGCCAAACCCTCTAGCCTACACTAATTTTGTCAAACCCTTTAGGAATCGTTTGGTAAGGGGTAATAATTCCATAAGATAATTGTATCTATTCTATATATTAAACGAATTCTCGTAATATAATTTATTATGATAAAAAGAGGTAATGACAATATAACCCTCACTTTCATTTATTATGATTGGTTTATTTTTCTTCAGTGGTATTTAAAATAAGTGTGAAATTACGTTTTCAGACTATCGTGATTATGTGATCATCAATGTGTGTAATAGTATTGTGACTTTTAAGTGATAAAACAAATTTTGGTAACTTTGACGCAATTTTTTAAAAATATTATATGATCATTTGTGAAATATCAAGGAATAAAGTAAGATAAGAAAACGTATAGATTGATATATTTAAAAATAAAAATAAAAAGAGACTGTTGAAATGGGAATAAAGAAAAAGCAAGGGCAATCCTCACAACAACTTATATCAAAAACACTTCTTTTGGCCGATCAATACTCTCTCCGTTAATTTTTTATTTGTCTATTTAACATTACATATTTTTTTAAAAATAATAATTAATATGAGTATTTCATTTCAATATCTTGAAAATAATTTAAGAAAAATCAACATGTCGAAAAGTTACATTATTTTATTTTCATTATAGTCCGGTTCTTTGACGTTTTTCTCGAGTAGAGCTAGAAGCCTGTGTACGTGTTCGATGGGTATAATATTCTGCCTAACAAACACTTCAATACCTTCATTAATTCATATCCTAACTTTAATTTTCTCTTATGCCTAACAGACACTTTATTTACTTTTTATGTATCTTTGTGAAGAGGAGAAAATATAAAAAGAAAGACACTGAAACTTGCTTCAATAACAACTTTAATTGTCACTAATGCTTTCATTTTGCATTCAATAACTTCATTGACATTTTATGTATCTTTGTTTCAACATTCTAAAATATAGCTACAACCAGAAAAAGTATATATATTCTGCCTAACAAATCCTTAAATACCTTCATAAATTAAGTTGTCAAAATATTCGGCAGCACATAATCCATTAAATAAATGGAATTAAAAAAAAAAAGTAGTAACAAGTTTCACACTCTCTAGCTATATATATATATATTGTATGAACACATGTCTTTAAATTCATAAGTTTAACTTTAATTCTCTAAAAAAAAAAAAACAGATCGAACGCCTTCGAGTTATTGTTATTTCAAGAAATGGACATGGCTTTATCAATGGATAATATTGTTATATCCAATGAAGAGGAAATTTCTATGATGAAAGCTATGCATCTTCCTTGTGGTTTATTCCTTAACATGGTATTAAGAGCTGCCATGGAACTTGACCTATTTGAGATTATAGCAAAATCAACTACTCAAAAACTATCTTCTAATGAAATTGCATCTCAAATTCCCTCAAAAAACCCTAATGCCTCACTTGTTCTTGAAAGGATTCTAAGGTTTCTTGCTAGTCAATCTTTTCTCACATGCAACATTACAAAAAATGATGATGGAAATGTTCACACATCATATAATTTGACTCCATTAAGCCAAAGTTTAATCTCTAATAAAGATGGAACATCAATTGCTCCATTTTTACTACTGTCTACTGATCCAGTTGCTGTTAATTCTTGGTAAGATTTCATGTTTTCTCATACTTGGTTCATTTGAGTTAAACAATTTTGACACTATCAGGACAGCTAAAAGATAATTGCACCTGCTCTAATGATGTATATATAATGGGAAAGTTGTTTAGTTAATGACCCTCTTTTTTATTTTTCTTAAACCTTATGGACCTTTTAAACCACGATCTAATTATTTATTTTCAGCAAATTGAAAATCGTATCTTATGAGAAATATTGTATTTGTATATGTTAGACGACAGTCTAATACTTTTGTCATGAGTCTCAACTTTTAAAAATATGGATGAAATTTTTGTAAACCAACCTATTATAACATGTTAAAATACACTGAAAGTGTTGATCTTAGATTAATATTAATTAATTGAATATATATGTTGTGACTTTTTGTTAAGGTTTCATTTCAAAGATGCAATTTTAGAGGGTGAGATACCACATTCAACAAGGCCCATGGGGTGCATGCATTTGAATACCATGGAAAAGATAGTAGATTTAATGGAGTATTCAACAAAGCTATGCAAAATGTCACTTGCATTGACATGAAGAGAATTCTTGAGTGTTACAATGGATTCCAAGGAGTAAAAGAGATAATAGATGTGGGAGGTGGACTTGGAATATCATTAGCTTCTATAATATCCAAGTATCCTAATATCAAGGGTATTAATTTTGACCTACCTCATGTCATCAAAGATTCCCCTACTTATGAAGGTAACTATCAAAACCATATATATTATACACTTTTTTTTTCTTTAGTACCAAGTATATTGATTGAATAGTGATCATATATATTCTTGTGTTAGGTAATAAGATAGCAATTACAATTCAAGAAGTTATATTAATTAAGTACGTACTTTGTTGTGTATACCGGAGGAAATATACTAACAAATTTTGACTAATCGCTAATTTACTCATTTTGGATTAAGCTTGTCGATAGAAATGTAGACCTACTTTCACACCAAATATCACCAAAAATTGAACTTTAAACAAAAATCTGTTTTAAGCATTTATTTATCTACTTGAATCGGATATATTGAATACCAAGTGTAGAATCCTATTAAATCACATTATATCACCAATTATTTTTGTATCACTTTAAAAAAATTAGAGATAATAAGCGATTTCATCAAGGGAATTCTAAAGTAATTAAGTTATTTATCTTAATATGTTATTATTAATCAAGAACTTTTTATATAGCTAATACGATCCTCACAAATTGTAAATACTAATTTGTTAAGAATTAATGACGATATGGCCTCATCTAGTACTAATATTTGTAATATAAAATATAATGATATGCATTTAATTGATATTGAAAGATGAAATTAAGTTTTAACTACTCTTGTTTGCTATATTAGGCATAGAGCATGTTGGGGGAGACATGTTTAAGAGTGTTCCTCAAGGGGAGCTAATCCTTCTCAAGGTCAGTATATATATATATAATACTTGTTATTTTCTATCTATGTGTCACTCGATCTCTTTTTATCAATATAAATATAAAAGAATGATATATTTTATTTGATGGACGTTTCTATTAGATATTGAATCCTCTTAGCTTCTTGTCTGTTTACTTTTTATTTTTGTGTTTTGAGCCCCTGGCTCCACCACTATCTGCAAGTACGTTTAGCAACCTCTGACTATGTAATAATAAATGTAGGCAATACTTCATGATTGGGATGATGAATATTGCGTGAAAATATTGAAGAATTGTTGGAGAGCATTGCCAAAAGATGGTAAAGTTGTTGTAATTGAACAAATGCAATCAGAATATCCAGAGACTAATCTTATTTCTAAGAATTCATTTAGTGTTGATATGTTAATGATGACTATGCTTGATGGAGGCAAAGAAAGAACAAAGCAACAATTTGAAGATTTGGCTAAACAAGCTGGATTTACTGTTTTCAAAATTGTGGCTCGAGCATATTATTGTTGGGTTATTGAATTGTACAAGTAGTATATGAAAAACTCACTGTCAAAGAGTTAATTTGACTGGTATCACATAAATTGCGACAGAAGGAAGGTTAATAAGTTTATGTATTAACTATCTATTTCCAATTATGTAATAAATTTTCCATGAAGGTCGGACTTCAATTATGTTTATTTTGGAAGTGTGTTTTTTTTCCTTCGATAACTTTAGTGCAATAAAACTATAGTTATATGACCATCGAGGAATAAGTGATAATATCCTCATAGCCTAGAAACCAAGTTCACGAGACGTAGATTGATATATTTAACAACAAAATGAAAAAGGAAAGTTAAAGCAAATGCATTCTCACAATCACAGAAATCAACATACCATAACTGTTCCCAGAAAGGTTTGCCTGGCTAGCTAACAAAGAAAAGGCTTTTTTTTTCGTTCTTCTAACGTCTCGCTGATTTCAATTCTTGTTATGAGATCACAATTCAAGTTGACTGTTTGGTGTAGAAGCGGAGGCCAACAGCAACTCCCAAAATAATCAAAGGAACCAAGAACTGGAGGATCTTGATGATGAACTCTGTTGTTTTGTCCTGGTTGTAATGAGGCTGCTTTGGAGGAGTGTACTTTACACTTGTTGGGATGGTTGAAGAATCGATTTCTCCTACATAATACTCGTCCAACATTGCTCGAGCACTACTGCTGTGTCCAACATCCTCAAAATCATCAGTTGCATCCTTTCCTGTACACAACAACAATCATGAGCACATGAACCATTGTCTTCTAGACGATTACATAGCTTTTAGTATCGAATCTGTCGATGGCACAATCTGGCAGTCAGCAAAGTTCGACTGAACTTTACACACACACACACACACATTGGTGCATATTTAAGATTACTAAAAATTGAATACAAAAATACAGAGTGGGTAAAATTCAAGTACTTTAATGTGACAATGTATCAGGGTCTCATAAACCAGTGTCTGCTACAAAATTACATAGGTTTTCATATTTAAGTTGTCTAGGATTTCAGAGATGGCTCATCTGGATTTCAGTGATGTTCGAGTGAATTTAACACAAACAAAAATTGGTGCATATGTAAGATTACAAGAAATTGAATACAAAATATAGTGATGTTCTTCCACAAGAAGAATACGTCCTACTATTTTACCTGTTGCAGACAATAAAACATCATCACCACCCGGGTGATCTTCCAAGAATTTTGTCACATCATACACCTATTCAAATAAAACACAACATATGGAAAAAGTTAAAGACACTTGGGAAGGGAAAAAACGGAGGAAGAATTTGATACATTTGCTGCCAACTATTGAACACATTTGATAAAATTATAACAACAAAATAAGTACATTGCCAAAAGCAAGTGCTACTAACATCACTTCCAAAACTAAACCAAAAAGGAATGGAGGCGTTGATCCAAGTCGACGACAGGCCGTGATGCTAGCTACTTGATTAGCATACAAGGCTTTTTTAATCAACAGGAATTATAAGATTTTCTTTTCCTTAGAAACCAACCTTCTAAACTAGCTATCACTGATTTTCTCAAATGTGCTTGGTGTGAAGGAAAACATTCTTTTGGAGCAAAAGGTAAGTGGACAATGAAGTAGAGAATGAGGAGTCAAGCATGTAAACAAAATTTGGAAATCATACTTAGACACACCCTACAGGCAACAGCATATGTTGTTTTCACTCTCCAAAAATGTCACTAGGTGCATATCGGATCCTCCAAAAAGTAATGCATTTTTAGAAGGATTTGACACGGGTGCTACAACATTTTTGGAGAGTTGAAGCAACATAGCCGCTAAACTTAGGACTCACAAAATTTAAAAGATGCAATTTCTTTCATCCACAAATATTCAATCAACAAAACAAGAAGATAATACCATACAAGAGGAGATCAGCCACACCCTACCCCATTCACCCCTCTTTCCCAAAACCAATTAAAGTGCAGGGGAGAAGTAGGAGAGTAGAGATAAAAATAAACCAACATGAGTTATTGGTACATTTGTGGGACTGCTTCATCTTTAACTAAAGGTCTCGAGTTTGAATCATCTCAAATGGGCCTAGCAGTGGGTGATCCAAGATTTAGTCTAAAACCCAATGTGGTGCATTGGATACCGGATGGAAAACCAAAAAAGAAATAAAATAATAATAAAAATACAACACATAAGTACTCCAATAAAGATTGAATCTTTTTTACAGAGTAGAGATAAAGATTGGATCTTTTCACAGATCTCACAATAAAAACCACAAATTGTAGCTACCCACTTAAAATAACATCAAAAGAAGAAAGCTTTAATTAGCACAAATGAGATAGAAAATTTTATACCTTGCCACTAATAATGAGCCAACAATCCTTGGCATTGTTGTGCTGGGAGACCTCAGCTAAATTGAAGACTTTACCCATTTATAGACAAATTCTATTTTGTTAGAATACAGAAAGACTAATCAGATATTGATTTTGGCTCTTCAAGACCCTATATAGAAAGGCTTGAAGAGGGAGTGTGTTGATTGTTGTTTGTAAATTGTACAGATGTGTGGAATGGCAGGAAGGGGTTGTTGAGTTAATAAATAAAGAGCAAAAAACCCATAAGGGGGTTTGGTGAGATCTTGATGATGGATGATATAGTTGGACCATCACTTGTCAAACCAAACAAGATGGGAAGTTAGGTAGATACAATACTTGTGTTTATTTTTACAAGGCGGAGAATCGAACATTCAAATAATTAGATAAGTACGGAAAATAACTCTAATTTTTGTGTGAATTAATAATTTCATCTTCAAATTATTGATGCCTTAAAAATACTTATTTACTTGATTAATTGAATTTAAATACATCCTCAATTTTGCAATATGAGTCAAATACATCCTTCGGTTCTATTAAGATTCACATGCTCCTACAAAAATTTGAGACAATTTGTTATGTCACCTGACAGATGGAAGTGTATCTAAGTTTAATTAGTCAAGTAGATGAATGTTTTTAAGACTGTCAATAATTTAAGGATGGAACTAATAATTTATGTTAAGTTCAAAAATATTTTTAATGTTTCTTTTATTAAATAATCAATCGATTGAACTATTGTAATCCATCATATAATTAACTAGTATGTGAACTGACTTTATAACTAGCATCATAGTCTAAAAGGTATTCACTGAAGAGGAGAAAATATAAAAAGAAAGACCTACAATCAAATCAATGAGTGCTCAACAAACTTGGAAAATTTTGGTCTAGTTGTTGAGTGAGGTGCTATTTGAAGCACATAAGTTCACCTACTTGTTAACTTATTTTATTCACTTTCCACTTTTTATAGACATATTATTTTCTACAGCAATATGTTTATAACTGTATATTCACTTGTAAATTAATTATTCTTTTATAATTGTCATATGTGTATTTTTCATAATCATTGTATGCATATGTATGTTTGATTGTATATATACAATGTGAAATTACATAAATAAATTTCTACTAATTTTCCCAAAGAGTCACAGCACAAAGCAAGAAAATAGAACAATAGGTTCATGAATATTGTGAATTTAAAATATTTCTTCTTTTTTTTCAGCTAGGAAAAGTTAGCACAACGATACATAAAAATAACACTATCAATTTTGTTGATCTTGATTGGAGAAGCAGACACAGTGAGTATATTGATTTTCGAAAGTTTTGTGTTCAACCTAACCATTAAAAATTGTTTGAAGTAGTATTAGAATATTGACGAGCGAGATTTGTCTATGTATCTTAGATTAATGTGAATCACACTAGACACATATATCTGGTGTGATTCGCATATATCTAGGATACCAGATACGCAGGCAATATATGAGAGTGGCGAGCGAGATGGGATGGAGGCAAGGGAGAAAAATGAGATTTGCCTATGTATTGAATCCACTTGGATATCGTGTATCTAGAATAAATCACACCTAATTTTTACTCATGGATTCCGAAATGCATGTATCTAAACTCACAAAATATTATTAAATTTGTAATATAACAAACTAGTTTGTATTTAATTAGTTCATAAACTAGTGAAATTTTTATAAGTTATCCTTTTAATTTCGCAAAATAATCCTGCATACCCCAGGCCCAACTACTATGGGCCGTAAGGAACCACCAATCTTGTACTATTGTGTGCTTCTATCTAGGCTTCCGGCCCATTCCAAATGGCTGCACCACCCACCACCAACTACCAACAACCACCCCACCACCGCCATCACCTCTGCCACCGCCTACCACATAAATCCACCACCCAAAAAACCTAATTTTTCCAATACCCAAAACTTGAAAAGCACAATATCTACTCAATTCCTCAAACATCAATATCCATGGCTACTCCTTCATCTCCCCCACCCCTCCTCCTCCCACCTCCTGAATCAAATCAACCCCAAATCTCCCCAAACCCTCCAATCCCATCACCCCAGAAGAAAACTCAACCTATACCATGGACCCATCAAGAAACTTTCAATTTAATCCAAGCTTATCAGGAAAAATGGTACTCTCTCAAAAAGGGTCAGCTCAAAGCTAGCCAATGGGAAGAAGTCGCCATTACAGTCGCAGCTCGTTGCGGCTTCGATGAGCCGTCGAAATCCGCCACCCAATGCCGTCACAAGATCGAGAAGCTCCGGAAACGTTATCGGGCCGAGAGACTCAAACCCTACCCGAATTCCTGGCAGTATTTTGATCTAATGGACCGTATGGAACGTGGGCCTTTACCAATTGCTGCTCATCCTGTTGCAATGGTGAAATGCCAGAATTCGAATTCTACGTCTGATCAGAGGTATTATGATACTGATAGTGATGAGGTTGATGTTAGTTTTATGGATTTGAGGAAAAATAAGTGTAAAAGCATTAATCATATTGTTCGTGGTGAAATGGGTATGATGGGTGTTAATGTTGTTGCTGATAATAGAAATGTGAATAGGATGGTGAAAGATCGAAACTTTGACCCTATGAGAGGGATGAGGAATTCAATGAATGAGAAAAGAAAAGGGTATTTCGAGAATGTAGGTACTAATAACGATGATGATGATGATGTTGAGGAAGAGGTGGATGAAGAGGAAGACGACGAGGATGGAGAAGGAAGCGTTGGAGGGAGTGAATTAGCTGCAGAGATAAGGGGATTTGCCGAGAGGTTTATGAGAATGGAGAGTAAAAAGATTGAGATGATGAAGGAGACAGAGAGGTTTAGGATCGAAATGGAGAAAAGGAGAATGGAAATGATTCTCGAGACACAGAGGAATCTAATTGATACTATCAATAGTGTTGTTGGATCGCATAAGAAAGTGAAGGTTTCTCATGAATTTTGAACTCCTTTGCAACATTTCTTGGTATGGAAAGAAGTGGTTGATGCTAAAAGAACTCGAGGTTTCATCAAGTTTACGCCTTTTTTAAATTTGTTTCCAAGAAAATGGCTTCGATTTTCAAGTGTTAAGCATAGTGGGATGTTCTTATTTATGGGGCATTTTCATTCTTCTAACATTTGTTTCTTAACTATTGTTAGGAATAATTAGCATTTCTGTCACTTGTCTTAGTAGAAATGTAAATTTATTCTGTGCTGGATTTGAGCTAACCAAACAAATTCAGACTACTCTTGGTTGGTTGTTCAACATCAACAATGCAATAAGATAGATCCTTTTTTCAGTTGTTAACTTATGGCTGCTTTCTTCCTTCTTATGTTCTAATGATTCATGTTTTTCAATTGGCATCTGCTGTGAAAACTATATACTTGTTTGTATGATCCCACAACCAATGATCAAGCTGTAAGTGAAATGTATTTTGTATATATTTTGTAAAAGTTTGGTTCTTGGTACCCTCCTGCTATTGTTAGTGCTTATGTTTTCATAAATGATGTGATTTTGCTTTCCTTGAGCCGAGGGTCTATCGGAAACAGCCTCTGGGTATGTTGTTGTTGGTTCTTGGTACCCTATATCAATATGATTGCATTGTGGTCACTTCTATTTACAATCCAGATGCCATAACTTTACAGGAAGGGATTTGATAGTATAGTAGAACTGTTGCAGGTTATGAGAATTTGCTTGTTCCTACATTCATTGTTGTTCTTACTGTTAAATCTGCAGGCACTCATTTTCATTTCCTTGATATGGTATAGGTGGTTTCTTTATCTTCCGTTTTGCGTGCAGCTTTCTTGGGAGGATAGTAGTACCTCATCTTTAACATCTTTGGGTGACGCTTAGATTATGTTCAAAGTGTAAAGACTACGTGAAAAACGAAGAATCGTGCGACCTTGTCAAAGTTGAGCAGAATGAAGCATACACCAGATTTTAATGAGTTGGAATGTCATAAATTGGGATTTCACACCATATCCCACTATGTTAAAAAGGCTAGACACCACCTGAATTTGCATTAGTGCACCCTCAGGAAAAAAAAATCTGTATATAAAGGCATTGCTTTTACACAGAAGTCTTCAAATGTTGGCCATATTATTTTCCAACGTAGATTTTACATAAAATGGGTTCAAGGGCTAAGAGCTGCTTTATAAGTTTACAAAATCATATGAAGTTATATATATTAATAAAAAGGCTTGTTTGATGCATTTAGATTCTTCTATTACAAGATTTAGGATCATGAAAAATACAAGTGATCTTAAAGGACATCTACTTTATTGGCCATGATATTAGTTGTTTGAACTTTAAAGGTCTCAGATTTACTATTAGCAGGAATGACATTTTTTTGGCTCCGACTCTGTCGTACTTGAATCGCAACAAGCGATTCCAAGTAGACCATCTTCGTAACAATTAAAAAGACATCTCAAAATAGACCAAGATCCAATTTCAAGTACTTTTGAGTGTATTCTTCCAAAGGAGCTGTATGTATGCGTGATCAGATCTCATTTCAAGATTTTCATAACGCCAATTAAGAACAATTTACAAGAATTGCACAAGCTTGAGAGCAAGGAGGGCAGTCATGAATGATGACTGTATTGACAAATATTGAGTATACACATGCCTCTAATATTTACAAGACTTTCCACAGCCTTTGGCCATAAAAATGACAACTACCCCATTGAATATAAAAAAAGGGCTATAATACATGGGATGACTACGGGGACAAAATCAAATAGGCCCTCCCTTAGTGAGCAGGTGAAAAGGGGGTTTAAGAAAAATGAGAGGTAATTGAAGGGGGTTAAGAGAAGAGAGAGACCTTGTACACCTACCTCTACATCTGTTCTTACCTTACTGAGGCTCTAGGGCAACAAATACTATACAAAACACAAACTTTGAGCTGATCATCCTCATACGCTCCCAAAATCTTGAAGTTCACCTTCTCATCCCAATGTGATTCCCTCAGGCACAACGAGCTTTGTCTGAAAAACAAAATGAGCAAGTATCAACTTATGCCAATATTATGACATGCTGAAAATATAACTAATCAAGAGCCTAAATTATCTCAACCAAGAATATTAAATCAAAATCTTGTAGAAGTATGTCACTAATTTAAACTTGTCTTACTGGGATCTAATAGCAGGTGTATTATAGCAGTTGACGTTAATTTTATTTCTTTTTACCTGTACGCTGTTGTTTCAAAGGCATGCTGAAGGAATGACAAGCTGCGAAGGAGTAACCCTTGATGTTTTGTGTGTACCTCAATCCAGTCTAGATTCACTGGGTCTAGCTAACAAACCTCTATTCCCTGCTTGCAGAACCTGCGCCTGATCTGGATGTTGCAACAGTGGCCGCTGCTGTTGTTGCTGGTGTGACTGGGGCTGGGTCACTAGCGAGGGAGGATGCAACTCCGAAGACTTTTTCTTCCATTGAACACTAGCATCACGCCCAATAGGAGACAACTTACCAGAAGATTGCATTTGGCTTGCTCCTTGGTTGACTTCTGGCCCTGTCTCGCTGGCAGCAGAATTTATTGGTGGGGTTCCAATTGAATCTAATGACGGAACTGCAACCTTCATTTGAGTAGCACCGGCGGCAGATACCTCTGTGGCATTAGTTAAATTGTTGGAGCCCTGCAGAGATGTGTTACCTATCTGTGAAGTGTTGCAAATATTGCGCTGTTCAGTTTGAGGTTCACCAGCTTGCAACTTGTTTGGCAGTTCAGAATTCAGTGAACGTTTCCGTTGCAGAACCCCTTGAAGAGCTGCTTGACTTTGAGGAGTCAACTTTGGCCGCAATTGCACCTGTTGCTGTGGATGCATCAACATTCGGTGGTTGGAAGAACCTACAACTGAGGTTGGAACAGATTGATGGGGCAAATTAGGACCCAATACACTCGATGAGGCAAGACCTTGATTGGTACTGTCAGAATTAGGGGGAATTTGCTGCTTTTTGGATAGAGGCACTTGGCCAGAATTTATCTTAGAGTGGGGATGCTGCGGTTGACTCACCTTTTGCTTTACAGGCTGGGCCAGGATTCCCTGACCTTGCAACAACTGTGTGGCTTGCTCACCTTTCTCTGCAGATTGATTCACTTGATCTGTAGGAAGGCCTTCCGATAAAGAGGGATCAATCTGCATGTTCTGTTGTATCATCGATTTCCCTCTCCCCACGCCCTTCAAAATTTTAGCTTGTTTTTGAGATTCTGACTGCTGGCGCTGTGGAGGATGGAGTCTGCTAGCATTTTGAAGATGCTGCTGCCCTATCTGATGTGGCCTTGGCTTGCTCATTTGAGTAATTAAACTACTACCCCCAGTTTGTGCACTTCGGCCAAGCCCATGGGACGGAAATGGATGTTTCAGTTGATGCTGTGGCATTGGAGACATTGAGGAAGGGGATGTCAAAGGAGAAAGTGACACTGGTGGAGAAGAAGTCTGTGAAGTGATCTGAGGACTATTCTGCAATGAGGATGGTATAGGAAGATGGGGCTGCGTATGTGAGAGTTGTTGATGTTGCTGTTGTAAAAGCCGCTGCTGCAGGTGCCTCTCTCTAGCTAAACGAATCGCATAAGCTTGATGCTGTGGGCTGGTGGCATGACTGGCCCCTTGAAGATGAGGATGCCGAGGGCTATGCACAAGAGGCTGCTGTGAAGATAAAAGATGTGGTTGCTGATGATGAAGTGGGTGTGAAGAAACAGGTGAGGAGGCAGTCTGGTTAGGGAAAGAGGAACTTGACCCACCAAAAGGAGGGACGCCTTGGCTGCTTCCTTGAGAGACCTTTATCTGAAGCTCAGGAAGAATCATTTGCTTCTGAGCTTCCTGATTCGGTGAGGGCTGCAAGAGCAGGATACATATACTGTCATTGAACTCAAAATACTGAGGAGGTGAGAGTTGAAGTATACAAGCAAGGAATGCATCACACTGCAGTTCCGAAAGTCAGATATATGAACTACACCATAAAAAGAGCCAAAATGCAGAAAAATCATGTAAGCAACAATATGAAAATCATAGAAGAGCAAAGTACGTCAGTGGACACTAAAACTACAAGTCTTCAGTATATAAAGGTGGATCTGCTCCCCAATGAATGTCATGAAATCTTAAATTCTCAATGAAAATCATCCAAAGCCGACTGTTTTCACCTTCTCCATACACTGATGTGGCAACAGTTGTGTTTTTTAACGCACAGCCTACCCCTCCTTTGTTCTTCCCAAGGATACCCCCAAGAAGAACACTTTTTTGATGGGCATTAGTTTGTCATTAGTAAATGAACCTGATCAACAACCAATTCATATTGGAAGACATTCTTTTCACATTGAAATGTTCAGGCTGGTCTGGTTGAACTTCTTAGATTCACATGTTCTTCAACATGAGATGCAATTGACCCAGCTATCCTGATTCAAGAGTGCATTGACCAGCTGAAACCATGAGTCACATGGAACACTGGTATACTTGCTAGTTAAATAAGCAGCTCAAAGAGCACACTGAATGCACAGAAGTATTGCCTTTTAAATTATACAAAATATCTACCAGCGTAACAAATCCTGTCAAAGAAACTCATTTCAGAACTTATTCAGGGAGATGCCTAAAGTCAGGGTTCACTTGTTAAGAAAGTAAAGTGAAACTAAACGTTAGCTAGTGAAATTTCTTGCAGAAAGGAGACCGTGTCTTCACCTACCATTTCATGATGAAGTTTTACAAGCTCGAAGTTGTCATATATGAATGAGTTAATAACTGCACTAACTAGAAGCAGAAAAATAAAAACCGCTATTGTTTACTAATGGTCCAACAACACAGATGTTAACCACAAGAAAAGAGCAATTTGTATCCAGAAGACAGAAGTAACTTACCCGTATCATGTGCAAAACATCACGAGGTCTCGACATTGAATTCCCCTGATTTGAGTTCACTCCAGATTGCATATTTACAGTGCTTGGCATTGTTGTCGTACCAGAAGAAAGCATAGATGATGATGCTATTCCCTGAAACCCAGGCCTTGCCATTGCCATACCTCTATTAAGCCCAGACAATGCTCCCATGCTGTTGCCACTGGGATGTGTACGAGCACCACCACTGTCACTGGCTGCAAGGGATCCAGGAGCAGATTTATTGGACTGCATATTTCCACTTGATAACATTTGATTATATTGCTGGGATCTCTGCTGCTCATCAACTGGAAAAGATACAGCTCTCGGAACAGCATATCTACCACCCCGGAAGTATGATTACCCATATCAGCACTTGATGAGGAAATCCCAGGAGCCATTACATAGTTTTA